ATAAAACGCGCGGCCAGCAGGAAGAAGGAGAGAAACGGGGGGGAATGCTCACCTACCCGTCCTTCCCCACATCCGATCCCGCCGCTTACGCCACACTGACCCCCATAAACCCGCCACAGCCAAAGACTGGCTTACCGCTCAGCATTAACCAGCATATTAACCAGCATATTAACCAGCATATTAACCAGCATATTAACCAGCTGCTTTCATTTACCCAGAATTCTAACTCAAGCCAAAAAGAAAAAGGGGCCAAAATCCAAAGCAAAGTCTTCCGACACGTAACTACATCACCCATAAACTACCTGCTAAATTAAAATGTAATAATAATAATTTGATAGCTAAAATAAATTACATTGTTAAAATATACACCAATAACCCACCAAACAACACGAAAACACACTGACTCAAGCCGACGACTGATCTCCATGAAACGTATAAAACAGTGAGGGAGTAAAAGGATGAATAAATCCCAGCAAACTCTCACCTCACCGTCTTTCCCCCACTGCCTGTCCTGTCCCCTGAGCCTCATCCACCGACTCGCTTCCTCCGCACCATTAACCAGCATTTTAACCACCTGTTTCACCTGATTAGTGCAGAAGCCAAACTCTCTCCGCAGTGACGTCATTGACTGTGACAGGAAGCCCCCCCCCCCCCATCGCCGTGACATGACGTGTCCATCCTCTCTGAGTGACCTCACCTGCCAAGGCTGCAGATCTGGATTTTTCCCCTCATATGCTTCCTCTATTGATCCTTCCCATCTCACTGTTAATTCTATTAAATAAACTATACGGACCACAAACCATATCAGGTCGCAAATTACTTACAGCTATTTCTCTTAGAACCACCAGCCCAGTACTGAGGCCTGCAGAGAGTTTCCAGTTGCTCGCCACACTAAGCTGACCCCCACCTGCTTAGACAGGTCTGCAGGGCTGCTGTTCCCTCCTCCCTTAACAAAAGTCTGTCTAATAACTTTTACCTCCTGAGCATTAACAGCCTTTCCTTAACAGCCTCTAACTCAGAGGCAAAACACGCCAAACCCTTATTGTGCCTCCATGTGTATCTGCCTTGACTCTGACTGACAGCACATCCTGATAGGATCTGCCACAGTCATACAAGCACACGGGGTATGTTTGACCCCATGGGAAATGATGATAAACACAAACCCTAGATATAGATGTGCAAGGAAGAGAGCAGGCCAGCCTGGGCCCAGCTGACCACGGGGGGGCTGACAGGGGCGGGGGGAGACTTACGATGTACAGCCATCTGTAGTCCTTGTTCTCTGAGATGATCCGGCGGGAGGAAGCGCAGTGCTTCACTGCAGGGGCACAAAGAGGGGTTCAGACTGTTAGGTGACAGAAACAGACCTGGCACTGGAGTAAAGGCGAACGCGTGACCAAAGGTAAATTAATCCTCCTCCATCCTGAATCCATCCAGAGGAGTGGAAACGGAAGTGCGGTCCTGTACTCACCCTGGCAGGACGTGTCGGCCTTGCAGAGGGTCATGTGCTCCAGGACCTTCCTCATGGTGTCGCAGTCGGGCCTGGAGCACGACCACAAGCAGCTGTGTTGCTCCTTCAACCACTGGCACCAGTCGGCGTGTTTCAGGAGCTCCAGCCGCTCCTGGATCAGCTTCGGCTTCTCCGGGTCAGTTGAGGGGCCCGATGGGGGGTGGGGGGGGGGGCAGAACAGCAATCTCATCAGCAGGGGTCACTGTATGTTTGTTACAGTCACCAAAACAGCCTTCATGCTCTCTATGCTGTGCATTGTGGTCTTGGGCCTGTAAACCTCAGCTGTGTTTCTCCATCATAATCAGACCGGTTTCTGTGCGGCTGGAAAAGCTCGATATCTGAAGCGCCACTCAAAGCCCTTTCCCTCGAGTCCCCATCTGAACGTGGTCTGGGGCCCCTGCTGGTTTGGGGGGCAGCTCTCACCAGGTTTGCCACCCTGGGGGCACCCTGGAGGGGTGGGAGGGGGCAGGCTGTTAGGGAGGGGGGGCTTGGTTTGGAGCTGGGTGCCAACCCCTCCCACACCAGTGACCCCTTTACCCTGAAGCTGCTGTCCTATGCCCTGTCCATAGGGCTGCCAGAAGGGGGCACTGTTCCCTCTGAGGCCCATTTGAGGGGGTGGCAATGCCTTTCTTTAGGGAGACACCAAGACACTTTCCAGTGTAATGAAAAGTTGCAACTGTAGGGCTGAATTGACCAGACAATGTCCCAAAGTGACCTATCAGCACCACAGGCTACAAATGAGGGTGTGAAGGCAGAACCATGTAACTATGCAGATTATTTTCGGCTGTTCATGTTCATGTTCATGTTCATGTTCAGGTTCAGGCCCTGCAGCTGGCCGTGTGCCTCACAGACGACGCTGTCCTGCCTCCCGCTGCTCAGCCCTGGGGACAGACACTAGTGGGGGAGCCAGAGAGTTTGGGCAGTGTGTTCAACTGGA